GCGCATGCGCAATATCTCACGAGAATAGTTAATTTTGTGCTGAAAATGCATTTAATATGGTGAGGGGGGTATCTCATCATAGGTTTCTGTAATAAATTCTTATCAGTACACCTGTGTTTATGATTAGGAGAGCGCCCTAGCCAGTAAGGTGCAAAACTACTATTGCATCCCCGCCCGCCCTTCCCCTTGTCTCCCTTGTCGCACGCTCAACCTCCTTCTTCGTCCACCGTCTCTCGGCTGTCTTCCCTGCCACCTTCCCTGAGTTTCCCACCCCTCTCTCCTCCAGCAAGCTATATTACGTGTTTTTTAGGCCGTACTGCACGTCTGAAACGGTGCTCGCGCATGCGCAATATCTCCTAAGAAGAATATTATTTTGCCAAAATTATGAATTTAAAATGAAGAGGGGTTATTCCAGCATAGATTTCTATAATAATATTCCATCGGTAGACCTCACTTTTGAAATAGGAAGCAGACATTGCATGTAAGCTCCCGGCTGCATAGACCGGTCAGTACATATCCTGGCTACGTTATTGTTTGCGCGCATGCGCAATATCTCACGAGAGGAGTTATATTTTGTGCTGAAAATGCATTTAATATGGTGAGGGGGTATCTCATCATAGGTTTCTGTAATAAATTCTTATCAGTACACCTGTGTTTATAATTAGGAGAGCGCCCTAGCCAGTAGGGTGCTAAACTACTATTGCATCCCCGCCCGCCCTTCCCCTTGTCTCCCTTGTCGCACGCTCAACCTCCTTCTTCTTCAACCGCCCCTCGGCTGTCTTCCCTGCCACCTTTCCTCAGTCTCCCACCCCTCTCTCCCCGAGCAAGCTATATTACGTACTTTTATTTAGGCCGTACTGCACGTCTGAAACGGTGCTCACGCATGCGCAAAATCTTCCAAGAAAAATTATATTTTGCCAAAATTATGAATTTGAAATGAATATGGGTTATCCCAGCATAGATTCCTATGATAATATTCCATCGGTAGACCTCACTTTTGAAATAGGAAGCAGACATTGCATGTAAGGTCCCGGATGAATATATCAGTTATGCAGTACATATCCTGGCTACGTTATTGTTTGGGCGCATGCGCAATATCTCACCAGAGGAGTTATGTTTTGTACTAAAAGTGCATTTAATATGGTGAGGGGGTATTTCATCATAGGTTTCTGAAATAAATTCTTATCAGTACACCTGTGTTTATAATTAGGAGAGCGCCCTAGCCAGTAGGGTGCAAAACTACTATTGCATCCCCGCACGCCCTTCCCCTTGTCTCTCTTGTCGCACGCTCAACCTCCTTCTTCTTCCACCGCCCCTCGGCTGTCTTCCCTGCCACCTTCCCTTAGTCTCCCACCCCTCTCTCCCCCAGCAAGCTATATTACGTACTTTTATTTAGGCCGTATTGCACGTCTGAAACGGTGCTCTCGCATGCGCAATATCTCCCAAGAATAATAATATTTAGCCAACATTATGAATTTGGAATAAAGAGGGGTTATCCCAGCATAGATTTCTATGATAATATTCCATCAGTAGACCTCACTTATGAAATAGGAAGCAGACATTGCATGTAAGGTCCCGGCTGCATATATCAGTCAGTACATAACCTGGCTACGTTATTGTTTGGGCGCATTCGCAATATCTCACGAGATATAATTAGGAGAGCGCCCTAGCCTGTAGGGTGCAAAAGAGAGAGAGAGAGAGAGAGAGAGAGAGAGAGAGAGAGAGAGAGAGAGA